GTTCAGTCTCCTGCTCTCTGTTGTGATCAACCAGTTCCCTTGAGAAACCTCCCAATCACAAGCCCAGCAACTAGCATTGCATACCCATTCCCTCAGATATCGGAGCAATATGTGACAATTGTGACTGGTAACCAGCCATTGATAGTTCTACCCTCTGTGTATTTTTCTAACTGGACACCATTTGGTTTAAGCCAAATGTCTGAAGAAAGTTGAATGGATCTTATCATTTAGGGCTGCTTCAACAATTAGACCTCTTGCTTCTCTCAGAAGAATAAAACTGCTGCTATTTATTTTATTAAATTGTTAAATGAATCAAAATGTTGGGGTCGCACTGCAGTAAAATGGCCAGCCGCTAATACCATTTTTTAAATGGAACTAACCTGAGGCATTGCACATCACTGCAAAGTTGTAGATACTTTGTGGAAGATGTGAGTCGAATTGCTGGGAATTACCTGAATTAGAGCGTTTAGCCCTAGAGTTTTTAGCTACTCTGCTGTACTTGGAACAGAGAAGGATGCCTCTGTGGAAGAGCTAAATTCTCACAGAAAATCCATTCAATAGGAAAAGGTGAAATGGGTAGTATTAAGCACTATTTGTCCCGAAGTCCCTTTTAACACACATGCCAACTGTTTGTGAGACATTCCCTGGCACTCAAAATTTGCACTTTAACTTAGAACTTACAAAAGGGGCTACCACAAAACTGATTCTTGAGCTGAACGCTCAAATGGAACAGAGTGTTAACACCTACAAGTGTGGCAGTTGCCCTAAAGCCTTTCTGCCCCTATAATTACAGCATGCGAAGACAGAAAAAGCAGCCCCCATTTTCCTCAGAATCACTTTTAAAGGCAACTGTCCATTTGTTCTGCTCTTCTGAAGTGGGCTTCTGTATGCCTGGGCATTGCTCCTGGGTGAAGGAACCTTCTGCGTGGACTTTGCAGGAAAGCAGCTCTGGAGTCGTGCCTGTCGATTTAGTCAAAGTTTTCATTATCGGTAAGAAACCAGTTGAAAGGCCCAAGTCTTGCTTGGTGCCAAGAGAAGGAAGGACAACCTGTTGGGATCATCTCGCACACACATCAAGAAGAATGTTGAGATCACAGGGTCGCCGTTCCTGTCCCGAGGAAGCCAACAAAGATGGGGTAAGCAGTCAGGCATCCGTGGACCCATCTGACTCCCATGTTGAAATCTCTGTGAAGATGCCTCCCTCTTTTGTGTCATTCTGCAAGGTGGTTATGGACACAATCGGGCAAACCTGTATAAAATATAAGACATATTGCAAGCAAGCAGAACATGAGCACTAGAACACTGTTGAATTTATGCTAATAGTGGTAGATACTTAAAAAAAGCAAATATCTGAACATTTGCTAATCTGGTTCCGCTTTTGGGTTTCCATTCTCTCTTCTCAGACTTTTTCACAACCCCTTCGGATTAACTCCTCTAATGCCAAACCAAGTCTTCCCCCCCAATGTTGCAATGCACTCACACTTTGCTCCCCTCAAGGCAAAGCCAGTCTTTTTCTACTGACTTTTTCTTTGTTGCAGAGATTGGGAGATTTTAGATCCTTCATAGCTTACTTCTAATGCTCCCTCACCTCCCCCAAAAAAGAAGCAAAAGAAGCAAAAGTGACTGAGCACTTACACTTAAAACAGGTGCTACTTTTCATAGTATAATGTAATTGCAATTGTCTCTCTTTCTTACCGCCTCTCCCCAAGGAAGTCAGGAGTCATAGAAACTTGTTTTGGGAAAGGCCAAAACCAGCTTGTGCTAACAAGGCTCCAAGGCCCACAAAACTCCAAGGGGCCCTGGTTTCCTGCTAGTGTAAAAGAAAGGAGTCAGAGCACGTACAAAAGAGCAGAAAGCAGGAGTTTCAGAAGAAAGCTCCTCTACAGGAAGTGGATGTCAGGAGTATCTCAGGTAAGGGAGCAGATCACGTTAACTGTGGGCTTGGAGTGGGACTTTCTGTGCTTGGCTTAAGGAGAAGGGCCAAATTTGATAGGTCCTTTCGGTTGGCGCAATGACTTATCCGCCATCTGTAGCAGATACTGAAAGAGAGGAAAGGGTTGAGCACGTTGCAGATAGTGCACAAGGAACCAGTTGGCCTCAGAGAGGAAGATTTACATATTGCAGTTTCCCAGGGATGACCCAGACTTGTCAGGTGCATTGGGCTCATCCCCTGAAACAATATCCAGGACAAGGAGATCGGCATTAGAAAGAAGCGTGGAAGGACTGAGCAGTGTTCTTAATCCTGATCTGTCTCTACTCAACCATGTTTTTTTTTTGAGGCCGTCACTTCAGAGTCAGATCATCTGCCATCAAGTGAGGCCACATCTGATCTGGTAGAAAGCTTTTCACGGAAGAAGCAACTCCAGAGTCACTCCACTTGGATTATATTCTGAGATTTGGCTACCAACTGCTGCAGGTGCTTTACCAGGGAGCAGAAAGCAAGAGCTGTATTTCAAAGCCTATTCTTTATCATTAGTGGTCACAATGGCAGAATCATAAGATGGCATCTCTGACAATTTGGAAGAGGGAGAGGTCTTTCTAACTGGAGAAAGAGCGGGAGGTAGATAGGTTGTCAAGGGGAGAGGTAAGGTAAGCAGGTATCAACCCTCATCAATTCTATTTTCACAGCTGACATTTTGATTCCCCTTCCTTCTTTCCCTTCCCTTCCCTTCCCTCCTTCCTTCCTTCCTTCCTTCCTTCCTTCCTTCCTTCCTTCCTTCCCTCCCTCCCTCCCTCCTTCCTTCCTTCCTTCCTTCCTTCCTTCCTCCCTCCCTCCCTCCCTCCCTCCCTCCCTCCATTTCTTCTTTTCTTTCTTTGCCCTTTGCATTTCTCTGCCAGAACACTAGCTCCAATTTTGCCTTCAAGGCAGATTTTGTTCAAAATTATCCCAATAGAGTTCTAGCTGGGCAGGGACTTGAGCCTGAATCTTCCTGGCAGGGTCTCCTCACTCAGCCAGCAGTGCTCTAACCACCCCTCCACATTGGCTTTCCTTTCCCTAGGTGATGAAGAAGAAAAGCAGCTTTGGAAATGCAAAGTGTCCACGGAAGTTGTTCCTATATTCATTCAGGGCCCTCTCCATGCCTGGCCGCCCTTACCAGGCTCTTCCCAGTTCCTTTCTTGGAGACTATGACAGCAGCATCCGCTATGCCAGCACCAGGACCCCCAAGGGATTGTTCTCTGTAAGTAATGGTGCACCTCCCCAGAGGTTTCTGGGCTTTCCATCCTCTAAATCTGCCTGTGGTATCTCAGTGGAACCTAATCCTGATCACTCTCCCTGGATAGGTTTGCCATTAGGGTTAACACACACACACACCGCTCCCCATCCCAGTTATGGAAACCTGCCCTGGGCTCTGATGCCAAGATTGACTGGGCATGTTGCCTATGTTGCAATATGTCTCCACTTTAATTTAGAGGCAGTAACAGGTCCCATTTCTGAGCTTGCAAAGCTGTATTAATCTTCTGGCATCTCCCTGCCCTCAAGGTTAACTGCCACTTGCTGACCTCCAGAGCCAACCAACTGAGCAAATCGACTTTTGACACTCACCAGTACTTCTTCACACAACAGCAGCAGAAAACTCTAGTCTCCTCTGTTCTATTCCTCTGTCCTTGTCTTTGTTTTCCCACCATAGACCATTCATTGTTCCTCGGTCTGGACTAGAACATATCTAGAGGACACCAGATTGGGAAAAGCTGCTATAGATCTTCCCTAATTCTCATAGTCACCAACATCTAAAGATCACGGAAGACAATTTAAAATCAACATTTAGTTACTTTACCCAATGGGCATGTACTTCACCTGCTTTGCTGGTTTTTTTTCCCCCCTGATGCTGGTTTTTGGTCTGCAATGTACAGGGCTGGTTCTACAAATTTCTTCCTCTAGATTTATTTATCCCCATATCCCACCCACCCACCACCACTAAGGAAAGGCAGGAAATATAAAATGGTTCTACTGGCTAAGACAAGGAAGTTTGTGTTTCAGAAGATGCTCTGGCTTTAAATCTGACAGAGCAACACCAGTGTTGCTGGCCTACTGTATTTCCAGTGAAAAATTTAAATTAATTTAATTTAATTTAATTTAATTAATATATAATAGAGATGCGTAGGAGAAAGAGAAGGTGGGTAAGCTTGGGAAGAAGGAAGTGACCTGTTCATGTTCAGATTGCTGATAAGCAATTACCAAGTGAGAATAGGAGTCTGTTTGATTGCCACCCAACTAATCCAGGCCAATTACTTTCTTCCTGCTATGATTGTGCCAAAGATTTGTTAACAGACCAGGCCAAATATCAAAACAAAAGTTGGCAGTGGCTTTTTACACTTTAGGGAAGTTGGCAATTTTATCTTTGCTTTACAAACATAGCCCTTTATTATGGAATCATAAGACTTGGTACCTAGCGGTACAGCCAAAGATTGTTTAAGTCAGCTTGAGGGCCAGATCTTACAGCTGCTAGCCAAACAAACAAGCCCCCAAAAGCAGGGCAATGGAATTTTCTCACTTGGGAACCAAAGGTATTGGATCTCCCACCAAGGAATGCCTTCAGACTCTCTTAGGATCAGGACAGGACCAAGACAAAATAAGATTTGGAAGTGTTACAAATCAAGAGTACTCCTTTTGTAATATGACGCAACTATGCCCAGAGATATGCATCCTCCTGCACATAGATCCACAGTCCCTAATAAAGAATATCACAATTATTCAGGATAATCTTTATGCAGATTATCAGGACCTGATGGACAGAGCAGATTGGATGCCTGTGTTTATTAAATATGAATTTTGATCCCTGTGCAGAGAGTGGGATCGTTCTGGGGGTGTGGTCTTGAGCCAAGGAGGGGGCTTAGTGCTGCCACTCGGTATAAATCACTAAAGCAGGATCAGGGCAGTCAGAGGGCAGGCAAAGTCCATGTGCTGAGACATCCCACACAATCAACGCCAGAGCAAAGGAGCTTCATTGGTAGGGAAGGAGCCCATTTTGAACAGTAATTTGCAAGAAGGGTTCCTCACAATGACAACAGTAGAAGCCAAACCTGAAGAGGAGGACAAAAAGGAACCAGACTCAATGTCAGATCCTGCTCCAGAGGAAGCAACCTCACCAGCATCCGATTCATCAAGCAGGGTAAGGTTGACGCTTGCGCAAGGATTTGAGTCTGTCCAGTTCTCCCATTGCTCTGGGACCAGAGGCTGGTCAGTGTTAGGGTTGGGCTTTGAGGGAGAACAAGTGCCACGTATCAAGGCCATGAGCAGAATTCAAAAGAGCAGGATTCGGATGAAGGCTGAAATGGTTATTTGAAATCTTTTGGGGGGGGGGGGAAGACGCATCATGAGTCTCGGTCTGGAAGCCCTGGATATCTCCAGTTGAGCTGATTCTCAACTGCTGCTTTTCTATCCTTCTTCTTCCTACTCCGCGTTCCCAGTTGCCTCCAGAATTTCCATCCTGTTCATCAGCATTCCCTGCAAATAGAATACTGGTTTTCATGGTCCTCTTTCAATATGTATGACTTCATTACCACTAATTTAATCTTCCAGAGCTAATTGTCTATTTATGTCATCCATGCAGATAGATTTCTTCTGGGAATACTGATTGACACCTACATACCCTTGGCTTTTCTCTGAGGCCATCTTTTTAGTTACAGCATTTTAAATTAAAAATGTGAAAACAAATCCAGGAAGTAACTGTGAAGGAGGCATAGCTGAAAAATACCAGAATGTAATTTCTGCAGTTAATGAGGGTGGTTATGTCTCTTCCAGTAGAGTCTGCTATCCAATCACAATCTTGATTGAAATTTCAAGGAAGAAGAGGCTCAAAGTTGCCATCAACAGGCAGCATTTGGAGAGGAAAACAGACAACCCAGTTATCTGTTTTCTATGCTCCCCCTAGTTGGAAAGTGCATAGTATCTCCATTTTGACTTAAAATAAATATTTCTAAATGTGTCATATTTCTTTTCAGGGAAATTTGGAAAATGCCTAGTATCTTTATTTTAATTTAGAATAATTATTTCTAAATGTGTCATATTTTTCCCTGGGAAATTTTCATAGCTTCCATCCCAAAATAAGGCTACCAAACATTCATACACAAAATCACAGAACTGGAAGGAGCTATTTTTGGCCTTTTCAGTGCAGGAATCAAATGTTGCTTTCCCAGCAGAAAGCTGCTTATAGAATATATACATGCATCCCTCACAGATCCCTTCCTATTCCAACTGGATTTCCTAAAAGCTTTCATTGGTTCCAAAAACTTTTAACTGCCCTGCCAGAGAGCAATTTTTCAAGAAGGATCACATAAGACAAAGGGGAATGACTACCTTTTTCCAATTCCAAGCAATGTCTCTCCAGCCTACCCATAAATCAGCTCTTTCCCATACTGTACACATTTGTGTTTTGCACTTTTCCTCCTCAGTTGCAGAACATCATACTTTATCCTTGTTCAGTTCCATTCTGTTCATTTCAGTTCATTGTTCATGATTGTTTATATCTTTTTGACACTTCTCTCTTTCTTCTAAGGCATTGTCTACTCCTTCCAATATTGTAGTATTTGCAAATTTCGTAAGAGTTTTCCCAATACCATCATCCAAATCACTGATGAAAATGTTGAAAGACGCGGGGCCTAGGACAGAGCCATGGGCACATCCCTCCATGTGTGTACTTGGTTGTAGAGAAATCTACATTAATTGGGTGATATGGGACTTTTCCAGTTTCCTATATTTTCAACATTTACAGTAATTGAAGTCAAATCTTGACAGGAAAGGAATAGAAGAAACTTTAATTGCCCAAAGCTTGGTTGTTTCAGTCCTTTTGCCCTCTTCAATTCCTTAGGAACAACAGTTTTTCTGCAATAAATATACATTGGGCATCTAATGGTGTTTGAGTGGAGCTCACATCCATATGCAGTTCAGGCTCTAAGGTGTCTTTCCCAACTGTAATGCTGGGTAAGTGTTGATTTAGGTGACCAGTTTTAAACAATGCTAGGAAGGAAAATCTGGTGAACATACTGTATATGCAAATCACTTTTAGATTTACTCAGCCAACCGATCAATTAACTCTACCTTTTGAAGCGAAGCATGCTGTTCCACTATATATGACTCTGAATCATCTACATTAATTGCCTATAATCCTTCAGAGCACTGAACAAATCAGCAATATGTTTAATATCTTCTCAGTAATATCTACTAGAAGCAAGCTAAGGTGTTTGCTCAGCAAAGAGTACAGTAATCTTAACTGAGCTGTTTCTTAAGAGCAGATGGCACTTTTTTTTTTACTGAGAATAAAATATCAGCATTGTGGAAAGACAATAAAGTGATCAGAGTCTAGCTATATATTGATCTGCACTTAACAGACTTTCTATAATAATTTTTATTAAAGTTTAAAAATACAAAGATAGAAAATTTAATGCAAATTAAGAAAAAGATAAAAAAAGAAAATTAAAAAGTGCAGAGAAAAGGAAGAAAGGGAAAAAATATAAAGAAAAAAGCTATATAAAGAAATAGATGCAAATTATCCAGTCATCCAGGTAGACTTGTCTGGAAATTGAATCATGGCTTATTTTCTTGTTGGTTTAAGATGTTTTGTGGTTCATCCAAGCAGCTTCCTCAGTCAAAGCAAGTTAGTTAGGCAGGGAATCATTGAAATGTACCAACACCTCCCACACCAATCTCACGGTTTCCTCCCCAAAATATGTGACAATATGTTGATGAAGATTCTCAGTCATCCAGGTACAGTTGTCTGGAAATTGAGTCATAGCAGCTGGATTTATTTTCTTGTTTCTTATTTTCTTATTTTTTAATATAAAGAAATTACTTTTCCCTCTATCAAGGCAAATATAAACAATTCCAGTAATTTGTCATCTTTTCTAACATTTCAATAAAGCATCTTTCTTCCCATATCTTATATCTATAAACAAATGTTTAAAGCCTCATCATTCAGTCCTAGTCAAGAAAAACCCATTAATGCTGCTTAAAAAAGCATATATATTTTAACCTTGATCAAATGAACCAATTTTTATATTCCTTCTTTTTGTTTTTAAAAATCTTGGAGCTTATTACCTGTATCCCAATAGTATCCCAAAAGCTGATAACTTCAGAACTCCTTCAACAGTGTAACACAACTCTTTTGTAAATCCAGGATAAGAAAGTTATCCAAGTCACTTTTCTGATTTATTATTTTTATGTTCTTTTAGTTATTAAGATATCTGCCAGTTTTATTTGTAAATCCAATGTAACATATTTTTCCATATCATTCTTGTAATTTGTCATTTTTAAATTCAAATCTAAAACATGATTTTGAGTTGTATTCTCTTCTACCTCCTCTTTTAAGCCCATTTTTATGGTAGCAGACCATCTAAAGAGAAATTTCTGAATGCATTGTTTGGAAATATCCTCAAATTCTTCCAAAATTGAATTACTTTTCTCTATTCTGTATTAGTGAGTCTCTTCTTTAATTATAATCTTTAGTTCATTCTAGTTGCTGCTAGTGTCCAGCCTTCAAAGTCTCCTTTAATCATGTTTTTCTCTAATCTGCAAAATTTTCCCACAGGAAGATTTCTTACAGTTAAATTCAAAATCTTCATACATTTTTAATAGGATTTTAAACAACTCACGGGAAGGAGTCTTATAATTAGTTTCAAAATCTTATTACCAATCCATCTGACCCCATTTAGAACTTTCCAAAATCAATGTTCTAATCTCCCTTTTGCTGTTTATTTTAGATTTTTTTTTTAAAAAAAAAAAGTTTATATGAAACTTCTTTTGCTAAGGGTTGAAGAAAAATTACCTGGTATGATGAAACTTGTCATTCTGAAAGTTCTTAATACACAAAAAGCAGTTAGCAAGCCATTTGCTAAAGCGATAAGAGAAGAAATGGGTGAACCCAGTATCCGAACCATACTTGTGTAAGGCTGTCTTTCCCTCAGCTCCCAGA